TTACAGTAATTTCCTTGCTAACAATGAAAAATGCATGAACGTTCGAGCGAGCGAAACAGTCGTCGGGACACCGCGTATTGCTCACGTATAGACGAGACAGTGTGAGTCAAGCGTTTTCTTAGTGTGTGTCACACGTATTTTAGGACGGCATTTCTGTCCAGACGTCTTATAATGCTATTTCTCTCGTTCTTACGTTTGCGATAGAGGATGGAAGATCGCCGCGACTCCCACCACTATTCCCTCTCCAAGCGTCCGACGATCGTATACCGCTAGCTCCCTCCGCCATTCCGTGCTGCTCCTGGCTCACTTACACGCAGCAGTGTATGAGTGACGCGTTATCGTGGCGAGTCACACGGATATTCGGACGGCATTAACGCCGGTGCGTGTACATATGTACAGAAATGCATAAAGTGTAATGTTGTGCACGATTCAATTGGAACAAAGTGTGTACTAATATGTATGTATGTCGGGTAGGGTTAGGATTATTTTTCAACTATGCTTATATTTTGGTATTTTTTAATAATAAATAATAATAAATAATAAAATCTAAATAATAAATAATAATAATAAATCTAAATAATAATAAAAAAATATTATCCACTTCACGTCGCAAATACCAGTCTCTTTTCAAGCCGCTACGCTTAGGCTGAGTTCCCACTTAGCGCATCACGCGTCGCGTCGTCCGAGTTAAGCCAATCAAATCGTCTCATTTTATTCGGTGTAAAGTTACGCAATAAAATAGGACGAATTGATTGGCTTAACTCGGACGACGCGTGCGTGACGCGCTAAGTGGGAATGCACTCATATTAACTTTAATTTTCACTAAAAAACACTGGCTTTTCAGTTGCGTACGCTGTGTTACAGAAAACCAGTTTATTGGTTGCATATTATCTTACAAGATATTTTAGATAATATGTGACCAATAAACTGGTTTTGTGTACGTGTGTGTCAAGATGTGTTAAGCAATTGGAAAGCATCCACTAGTTACATAGCTGACTAGTAGCCCTCCAGCTGAGTACGAACGTGTATGTTGTGTCGACGATTACGACAATTGGAATGCACTTATGTCGCCATGTGCATGAAAGTGTCTAGGGATATTGCAATTGGAAAACACCCATTATTTCGAAGAGTTTTATTCAACAGTGCAATGGCGTTGGGACGATATTCTCTCTGTGAAGTCTGGAGCCAAATATTGAAGAAGAAGAAGAAGATATTATATGAAATCTAAATCTACGAAAATGAAACACTCACGACGCTCAAATATCGTTCCATTAGCTGTCACATCCAAGTTACTGGAACGAGTGCTCACGGCGTTGCAAGTGTGGGCGTTGTGAGCATCTAACGGAACGCACCCTTAGTATAGACATCTGTGTTCTTACTCGAACTCGAATTATCGTAAATACCCCCTGGGGTACTATTCCGTTCCCGCGTACCGACAGTTATCGAATCGGTAGGCGTCGTTGCGCAGCTTTTTTATATCGTGGAAAAACTGCGCAACGACGCCTACTGATCCGATAACTATCGGAACCACGGTAACGGGATATCAGCCCTGGCTGCGTTCCAAAATCTACTCGGTGGGTAGAGTGCATTTAATTGACCAATTATGATAAAGAAATCCTAGTTATCTTTGTTCTTATTGGTCAATAAAATGCTACTCTACCCGTCGAGTAGAGTTTTGGAACTTAGCCCCTGATTCCGGCTTTAGTGAAATTGGACCTCAAATAGGGGAATTTGTTTTTAGCGATCTCCGAAAGATATATTTGCAATTATCAGATTGGCAGCATTGAAGTACTTTAAGATGTTCAAAATTAAACGAACTTTAGATAGGTTGTTTCTGATGTGTAGCCAAGTGATTGTATACTTACGAGTGTTTCAAATTTTATAATTATAAACATATAGTAGTGCACACAAATTATGGAACAGTGGGAACAGGTTATTGTGGAATGGGTAAATAATTACAGAGATCACATTATCATTATATAAATACTATCATTTATATACAATTAGATTAATTGTCAATATCAGAGTATTTATAATCAAGTAAATTTCTCATTTCCTCTATTTTCACATTTGTAATTATTACAATAGCATGTTTATCATAAATTTAAATATATATATATATATATATATATAAATTTTTGTTTCAAAATTTAAGTATATTTTGGAATCATATTGTGTAAAAGAATTAACACAAAGTATAAATTAAAGTATAAATTTTAATTCTCAAAAAGTACATTTTTATTGAGATAGATGTTTAAATGTTATAGATTAACTGCTTAGATGTACTACAAGAACCTCTAAAAAATACGAGAGAACTACAAGATGGAATATTTTATATCAGTTTATTGAATTTGATGTAAGTATGTTCATATATGTTATGTAATATGCAATTTAATAAATATAATTATCTGTTATCATTTATTATCATGTTATAGATCATGGACAAAGCATAAACATAGTAACAATCAAGAAGATATTATTACAAAGTTTATGGAAGGTAAGCTTATATGTATTTTCTTATCATCTCCATATTATTTACAATATTTCCTAAATTTGAAAATATATAATTTTAAATATTTTTACTATATATATATATATATATATTTTTTTTTTACATATATATATTTTTTTTTACTAAAGATAATAGTACACAGGTTCATTTAGAAATTACACTAGATTTTTTTTATTGATTGTGTGAATAGATGAATATCCCAGTTTCAAGATTAACAAAGATGATAACACAGATCATATATATATTGCATCCTTATTATTGATGCATGCATCTCAAGCAACTATGTTTCATGTTCCAATGTGCAACAAGCTGAAACATGAAACACAAATAAGAATTAAGATCTTTCTTGAGAATATCTTGCCTCTTGGAAGTGATGTCACTAGAGATACAATGAAGGAAGTTATTGTGGAATTGGTTGAAGATGCATCGAGAAGTCCAAGTAGCCGCCATACACCACCCCTTAAAGATTTTGTTAAGTCTCCTATTATGCGCTCAGCACATAGTAGTTATAAGATAATGACAGAACGAACTCGAGAACTAAGAGAGTTGAGGTCTAATTTAGATATAGAACGATTTAAAAATGCAGAATTACAGGATGAAGTAAAAATATATCAGGAAAAAATACAGAATTTAAAAGTAAAATTTGAAATGAAAGCAGCACAACTAAAGGCATTACGAGAAGAACAAATGACACCAAGCACTCCTCAATCTTCCCATAAAAAGGAGTATACATCATTACATGAGGATTATTACAAGAAGTACATCAGTGACTTGGAAATTCAGTTGACTAAGCAACAGGATGAAATGGATAATTTGGAAACTGAGAAAGATAATCTATCAAAAATACTAGCTTCTGAGCAAAGACAATCTATACAATATAAAGAGAACCTTATAAACTGTGAACGATTGTTGGAAACTTTATCACGGAAAATGGAAATGAAGGACAGAGAACTGATAGAACTCAGAATGTATAATGAAGAATTACGCGTTCGTCTCAAAGAACTCAGTAAAAATTCTATTATAGAACAAAGTTTTGAAGTCGAGGACTCTGTAGTATTGTCACTACCTGCCAGAATGTCATTGAACAATAGTGAAGCCCTGAGTTCTGTGATTGAAATCCAACTTCAAGAAGCTAAAGAAGAATCTGCTATACTCCAAGCTCAAGTTGATTCTTTAAAAGAAAAGCTAGATATATTTACAAAGAATTATAAGGATGCAATAGAATTAAATGAAGATTTGCAGCAAAAAGTAAAAATATTGGATAAAGTCAAAACTGAGTTAAATGATGCACAAAAAGAATTACATGTGTCAAACATTAGTGTAAAAAATTTCCAAGTGGAGAAATCATCTCTCGTCGCGCACAATGAAGAATTGGGAAATTTACTTTTATCTAGGGAAAAAGAACTTTCTGAAACAATACAATTAAATTCTGTGCTAAACACAAAATTGGACAACTTAAAAATAGACATGGAAAACTTGAATAAATTGCTTGAGAATGAAAAGACTAATTCTTCAGATTTAAGTAACGTTCTTGAACAAATCAAATCACAAGAAACTGAACATCTTATACATATTCACACGCTAACTGACGAAAGAGATTCATACAAATCTTCCATTGACGCTTGCAGGGAAAATGTAAAAGCTATTTTACATTATGGCAATCAATTTATTGAAGTTATAACTGATGATATAAATAATATGACATTAAACAAACTTTTGAGTTGCTTAAATGTTATGCTATCAAATTATAATTCAGTATGTACTTCATATAAATGTGATATTAAGAAATTAAAAGAAACAATAGATGAAATAAATGTAAACTTGCATAACCAACAATTAACTATTACGACTTTAAAAGAGCAAAATCATCAGGCTCTCATGGAATTGACTAATGTTGAAAAAAATGAAAAGCAAAAGGATTTATTGTTAAATGAACAAAAGGAAACTATCAATAATTATTTGCAGGAGATTAAAGTTCTAAAGGAGGTCGCGAACGAGAAATGTGTTCTAGAAGAGGATGTACGTAAATTAACAAAAGATTTAACTAATCAACAATTACTATTGAAATCTGCTAGGACATATTTTGGAAAACTTCAAGATATAAGGGAATATTTCAAATTAATGAAACAAGAAACTCAACAAAGGTTTATTGAGTATGAAGAAAATATAAAAATGACATTTGGAAAGATACATAAAAACTATCAAACATTACATTACGAATTGTGTAAAATGGAACAAGAAAAAGAGGAGTTGAAGAGTGATTTAAACTATACTAAGAAGGAATTATCTGACATTCAAATAACAAATGTTATGTTACAACAAGACCTATTACAATATCAAGATAAAATAAAGGCTTTGGAAGAAATAGAAAATTTTCTGTGTAAAGATTTAAATGAATCTAAACAGAATCTGCAGGAACTACAAGAAACAAATCGCACATTAGAGGAGCAATATGCAGTTCTAAAAATTGAAACAAATCATAACTTGGAAAGTCTAAAGTTAGAAAATACTAAAATATCACTGGAATCAAAAGATGCTGTTGACAAATTTAATATATTACAACAAGAGATGAACAATACAATGATACAAATAGAATTAAAAAATACACAAATTAATGAGTTACTTTCGGATGTTTCTTCTTTGAAGGCTGAAAAAGATCATTTGATTAGTTTGCATGAAGAAATGTTTGCAACAAAAAATGAAGAAATGGAATTAAAAGAGAAGACATTGCTGATGCTGCAAAATAAAATGGAAAAGTTAATGAACGAAGCAAGCGAGTCGGAGAAGAAGCTGAAAGAGATAATTATTAATCTTCAAGAAGTAAGGTCTAGCCAGGATGCTGTATTGGCAACTCAAGAAACAGCTCTGAAAGAAAAATATATGCACATAAAAGATCTTCAAGAACAATATGATAAATCGAAAGAAGTATTAAAAGAAGAACTTGAAAATGAAAAGTTGTTGTATCGCGAATTGCAAGTCAAATGTTTAGAATTAGAAAATCAGATTCACGACCGAGACAAGACTATAGAAGAACTGCAACAGAAATTAGAAATAACAAACGCAGAGCTTGAAGTGAGCAAAGATCATTATAAACTTATGGATGCAAGTCAAGCAAACATTGTAAAGCTGTGTCAAGAATTGGAACATCCAACTAAAAACTTGAACTCTACAATTATGGAGATATGCTCAGATTTCGATATTCTCGACCAGAACTTATATAATTCGTCACAATATCAGTGCACCTACAAAGACAACAGAACTGAAAATATTCTGAATATTATTAAGATGACTCTTCATGAATTGCACTTATCCCAAAAAGTAATCTCGCATTTATCCCACACGAATGCCCATTTAAACAAAACACTGGAAGAGCAAAAGATGCTAATAGAAAACGGTAAAAAGGACGAAGAAGAAATCTGCAGTCTGACAAATAGAATACAAGAATTAGAAATAATAGCACAAAAACGAAACGAGTATCTCAACAATATCATACTAAGTAAGGAATCGCTAAAGAACTTTATACAAAAAGTTTCAACCTCGCGCAACGACTTAAGTACTGTTTTATCATCGTCGTTGCAAAAGTGGGATGAAATACTGTCAAAGTTTCAGAATATCTTAAACAGTGAAAATCCTACTTGCGATCAGTTCAAACAGTTACTAGCTAAAAAAACAAATATTGAAAATGCACTATCCAAGTATCGTATAGAGCATTTAGAAAACATTAAATGCATATTTGATATTTTATGGGACAAGTTTCTTTGGACGGAAAAGAAATTACATGACACCTACTTATGTTCAGTGCATGAAAAAGAGTGTCTGGATATATTAAAGAATGTAGAAGAAAATCAATTTTCCAATGAAATAGTCATAATAGATGCAGAACTGGAGAAAAATAAAGCATTTCGTAACAATATATTAAAGTCCAAGGAAGAAATAGAATCTTTCACTGCTTTGGCTACTTCCTACGAGAGTAGGTTGAAATCTGGAGAAATCAAGACTCAGTCGGATATAGATAAAAAACTGCAAAGTCAAATCAATCAACTAATTAAGGAAAAGAAAGACATGAAAAATAAAACAGATTCTATGCGTTCGAGAAATGTGAAATTGGAAAAAAATATGGATGATCTTAGAATGGAACTAAAGAAATTAAAGTCGGAGACGGCGGAATTAACGGTTAACTTGAGAGATGTACAATCTCTAAAGGACGAACTAGAACGTGTGAAAAAACAAAATCAGCAAATAGAAAAAGAAAAAGATGAGTCAAATAAAACCGCGAAGCAAGAATTCGAAAGTCAATTGAAAGAAGTCCATGTTGCGTATGAACAGAAGCTGGAAGATATGAAGCAAAAAATGGTAAATAGTAAAACATCTACTGTAGAACGTGCTACGTATAAATTGTGATGTCACATAATAATATTTGTTTCAGAAAAAAGTTTACAATGAGCAAGTAGCAAGATTAAACAGCGATCAAGAAAAAATTGTACGAGAAAAGTTGCAAAATCAAATGGAGTCGATGTGCCAGAAACAAAGAGAAGAAATTAATAAATACAAAACGCATGTCGGAGATCTGAGCTCGCAACTTTGGAGCGTGGGAGAGAAACTTTTAATCGAGCAACAACAGAAGCAAGAAGCATTACAACGATTAAAAGAAATGCAAGTCAAGCTCAAGGAAGTTGAAACAGACCAACATATGTCCACAATTTCACGCAGAACTGCCAAGTATGTTTAAACGTGTTGGAATATGTTGAAAACAAATCTTATCAATTTGGCAGTATGTACGTCAATTAATTTAAATCTATCACAGACTGGAAAAGCAAGAGGTGGTGCCTGAAACACAGCAAACAACGCACAAAGTAACAGTGATAACAGAAGAAACGTTCGAAAGGAGGCACAGCGTAAGAAACTTACAAGCAATGGGCAACGCATTTAAAGCGGAAGATGAAGAAGAGATCTTTGACAACGTTTACCTAGGTAAAATGTATTATATATATATATATATGAATATAAAGATAATATTAAAGATTTTTTATCATTTTTATCGTATTAATCGATGTTGTAGCCGACATGAAAAGAGGACATTGTTTACCCAGTACAGACATCAATCGGTTGTCCGTTTTACAAATGAGGAATGCCCAGTGTAAACCACATCTAAAATCATCGTATCCAGCGGAAATGCAATTCCTTCCTTCAAACTTAACGGAGGAAGATATCAAAGTAAGCGTCTTTTAACATACGCTGCATATATTTATTACATGTCCACATTATGTTTTTGTATCATAAATATTTATTAATAATAAATATTGTATGTATCTGTTCTTATATGTGCTTACATATATTGTGATGTTTATCTTGTTTATAGTCAGGTTCTATAATGGAAGAGAATTTCAACGATAGTCTCAGTCAAAGCCTTCTCCCAGAGCAAAAGACAAAGAAAAAAGATAGATCTCAAGTAAGCAATTATTATATGACTAAAATTCTGTTGGCTAATGAAACTATCATTTGTTAAATATTGTTTTGCCTGCTTATGGTAACTTTGGTATTCCTCGTAGACGTCCTACAAAAAACCTGGTCCTCCAACACCAAGCAAAAATGGAGGAAGATTGTCATTGCAGGTATATAAATGTATCTCTATATATGTTATTGATTTTGTATTATGTTTTGTTCTTAATCTTGTATTATGCATACGAGGTTAATAGAAAAAAGAATCTATTTGTGAATTCGATAAAGCTCAAGAGTTGCATCTGTAATTCTTCGTAACGCTTTCATTGTGTAATCGTGAAAAAAATTACATATTAGTCATTGAAAATTCTTTCAACAATTTGTCGCAGGGTAATGAATTAAGGAGCCCGAGTTCACGGATCTTGAGAGAACGCAACGCAGATAGGAGGACAACAACCACTCCTCACACATTGAAACATTTGTTTACACTAAAACGGCAAGATGAAGTGAGTATAATTAGATATAAAAAGTTACTTAAGTATTAAACGACTTATTATAAATTAACATGTATTTTTAACAGAACTCATCCAGCACACCGAAAGGTCGCAGACTCAGTAGTATTTTCCGCAAATCTCGTATGCAATAGAAATTGATCGTGATGAACACGTCAGACGTTGTACAAAATGTTAATTTATTGTTGTAATATTTACAACAATAAATTAACATATACAAAAGTTAGGAGTTCTGTGAAAATTACTATTGAGTATTGTCTTATCTGTGAGCGGTATTGCCATAGAGATTATGTGTGTATTTATAATAATTTGACTTTTCATGTGGTCATTCTCATATTTAATCATGATACAATGACAAATTATATCCTTTTTACGATATAAGGTTCTGCAATAATATATAATAATTGTATATAATGTTTAATGCGTAAATAATTAACTTTATATAATTTTATACGAAACGCAGAGCATAAAAACGTAAAAATTATAATTCGTAAATTGAATGTGTGTGTGGGGGAAATAAAATATAATTTTAAGAAAATATACTTATCAATTCACCATGTCCCTACGATATATAAACAAATAAAATTGTATCAATAACTTTTGCACACATATTTATTTAAAAAAACTATTAAATAGTTTAATATTCTCTTACACTAAACATCTTTTTATATAAAAAATGTTAATAAAAATGGAATACATATATTGTAGTATTTGTAACGTAGCATATAATGAAATAAATTTAATTTCACGGGAAAACTGTAAGAATTTTACTTATGTAACTATTTTTGTAACATAACGCTATTATAATTTATTAATACTCGCAAAAGCCTTTCTATGCCATATATAAATTAAATATATTTTCCCATAATTCTCAGATGGCATAGTTGCTTTGAACACGTATCACAATCCAATTGTCTAAATTTAGGAATAGTAAAGCTTTTAGGGATTATACATTTTCTTACTCGGAATCAGATTCCTGCAACGATTTAATGTGTTTCAATTAATTAATATATACATATATATAATATATACATATATATATATATATATATATATATATATATATATATATATATATATATTAGTGTCTGTACATATATAACAATAATGTTAGAACTTACCATATATTGCCCCTCAACGTATCTGCCTGAGTTTCTAGACGTTCTCCGCAATTCTCTGTGCTCCACATGTTCTTGATTTCTTCGTCTATTGCATATATAATAATATATCCTTTCCATTATATAATTTCATTATATAATTTCAAAGTATATGAACATATAAAAAATTATGTAATTCATACTCACGGTCTTGACTGTATTTGTAGTGTCTTAAGTTTACTATCGATATCTTGTGATGGACTTGTCGACGTATCTTCTATTGTTGCTGAAGGTGACGTTTGCATTTGAGCTGCATCGTTATTTTCATAGAAAGTATTCACTCTAGGCCCACGGCTTATCACCACTTTATTAACCGGTAATCTGAAATTAAAAAATCGTTATTTTTTGTTCATACTTAATTTAACAAAAATAGGAGAAGAAATTACTCACTGATTTTTCCGTGGACCACGCTTCTTTTTGTGCTTGCTGAAACGAAAACAATAAATTTCACCAAATGAAGGTGTAATTATTTCAATTATCTGAGATAAAGGGACAAAAATTTGATAAATTTATAAAAAATCTTAAATGCATATATATGATCAATATATGAGAGTTTGTACACTCGAATTTATAGCTCAGCATACACGTAAAGAGAAAATTTATAATTTATTATGTTATACATTGTAAATCAACGAAATGTATCAAAATCTTGATAAAACAATATCATATTATAACAATATCATATAAAACAATATCATATTATAAAATATAATATAAAATTAATCAAGAGAGAGCGAAAGAGAGAGATGCAAACGAAGAATGATAGATAACATTTTTGTAAGGAGATGGTTATAGAGAACGGCGTGCTATGAAAAAGAATGCTCACATTATCAATTTTAAAAAAGAGTAAGATGGAGAATGAGAGAGAAAGAAAAGTGTAAAACAAAGGTCTTATTCTCTCTCACATGTTTTCTGTATATTAATAATTGATAATACATACATCGCGCTTTTTAATGACAATTTTTCATTTTAATAAAGTAGGATTTAGGAACACTGGGAGTATAGAGGGTCTTATTTAAAGTAATCTCACATATTCATATCTATCTCACCAATTTGTATTATTGATATATAAACAGAATACAAAGTTTTAAGCTTACTCGATTTTAATCATTCGACAAAATACACACATCGTTCTCTATGTACGATCTTTCTCATTTGTTTCAAAAATACCATAATCTGTGACAATATGATCTATCCCTTAATATTCTCTTATTCTAGTTTAGAAGTGTGACTTCATTTGTTAAACGAAATAAAGAGAAAGCAGGCACCAGGAATAATAAATTACATCAAAAGTTTCTTGTACAATTTTTGCCCCTTACATATAACTTTCAGATACACAATTGATATTCCTCTAAAAATACATTCTTTAAAGCTCCTGGTCTTCACCACGACTATTTTACATTATGACGTCAAAAGCGAGAAAATACATACTCAAACTTTTTACAAAGCACGCTGAAATAAAAAAAAAGATATCCATAAAATTATACTTGCGATCGATTTTTTATGCAAATTTGTGAAATATTCTAAAGTTATCTTTTGCTCTAACAATCAATAAATAACCGCAAAAATTAATATAAAATTAACAAGACTTATGATCTATTTTTTAATTAAATAATTTTGTCACGTTAATTTTGACTTTTTATTGATTATTAAAGTAAAGAAGAAGATTTCGGAATATTATACAATCTACTCAAATCAATCGCGTCATTCTATAGACATGTTTTTTTAGACATCTTAATTTTGCAAGAATTTTGGACATATATTTTTTCGCTTCCAACATCATAATCTAAAATAACCACGGCAAGGAAACAGGAGCCTTAACTTGTGTAACAATCAGGTTACCTGCAACAAGCAATTCGTCAAAAATTACTACTCATGCAAGTAGAGAGGCAGAATAATGTTTTTTCTTGTAAGTGGCAGTTACAGCAGATATTTATAGATTAAGCAGAAGCATGCAGTTATACTGCAAGGAACGAGATCATCAATATCCCTTTATAAAAAAATATAGATCTACTATTCAAACGCACGCTGTAATGTTTAGATGTTGATTTTGAAGTCTTAAAATTGCATGACGTAAACATTACATAGCTTGTATATCAAAATATGATAACTGAATTTAACTATACGCATTGATTGCCGCTCTAAATCATGACCGATTGTTTTTACAAATTCATCATAGCGTTAATTCATAATATCGAAGTTTCATAAATAAATTATAGATTGTATATGATATTAATAAAGCATTAATAAAATACATAAGGCAGAAAATGAAAGATATTAGTACAATGTAATTACTACTACTACTTCTACAGATCTACACTCTGCAAGCAACAGTAATGTTTTTACAGCGCTAACAGTAGTAAGAAACAAAGCACATCTTACAGTATGTGCATAGAATGTATTTGCGCTTTTAATTTTACGAAGAGTATACACTCTCCGCAGCATAGATCGCATTGCAAAAGCGAGTAAAAATAAGCATTTAGTTTGTATCGCAACAATAATTGTGCGCGATTAATCCGCTCAATCTATGCCAACTTTATTCGTGTGTCATCGAATAATTACGTGTAACGGTTACTTGCAATTACAGTCGAATCTGTACTAATGATTTGACAAGTTTGACAGAAAGGAATAATTATATATCAGACTCTAGTCGGGTACACCTAACTCACCCTGAAAATTCATGATCAGAACCCTCATCAGGTTCATCTGCTTCTTCTTCCTCTGCAAAAAAAAGACATTATTGCTTAAACTAAGAATAAGAATATAAAATTATTAAAACTTAATACCTTCACACAATTATAATAAATTTACAGACTACTAATTTTCATCTGCCTCGTTTAATTAACTTCCTATGGTTTCCTATGTTTTTCTAACAGATTCATGTATCTAAAATATTTTTGAGAATAGCGCTACGAAATCCTTTACCGGCTAACTGATCCTTCTTGCGTCTCGTATAAGCTCGTTTACTTGTCACAGGAACTTGATCAGTCTCGCCGTGCAGCAAGCTGTTTCTATACAGAAGTAAAGGTTGCCAGTCTTCGCCTCGTGACGATGGCATTCCAGCTTGCAATCGTCTGTCCAGAAAGTTTAGACTGCAATAAAATACACCGTGACAAAGCGCGTGAGCATAGAGGACAAAAACTAATTTCAATATATTTTAAAATTCTATTTCCTGCAAAAAGTGTGATTTGACAATATAAAATACTTACACAACACGTTTGTCCTGTTTGAGGAGTTTATTCGTGAATTCGGACAATATTTCAAGGAATGGTAGATTTGGTGGCGGGCCTGTGGGGTCCTGCTCGATACCATCTGGTGGAGTAATGGCAAATAACACACCTGAGCGATGTAAGGCTGTGATTGCTTCGCGATTTTTCACGGCATCTAAACCGAAGGATAACGCAAATCGTTTTGCGAGTTCCTGTAAAGAAATAGATTTTTTTTAGTAATTTTATCATGTTTTGTCTCGTTATATAATCGAACAAATATATATCAATATTTACGCACTCTAATTGCAGTGAATTCTTCGCTGCTTCGGTTCACTTTGCCTTTCTCAGTTACAATTTCGTTATACAAAATGTTCAAACTCTGTTGCATGGTTAGCGCGCAATTCGTTTTGTTGATGTCTCTCGCTTTTCCCAATGTGGTTTTAATAATGTCGCCGTAATCATTGTAATACTTCACATAATGCTTAAATACATCGGCTGCGGCTTTCGTAGGAATCATATTATAAACGATTAGCTTGCAGTAACCTGCTAAGAAGTTTCTTCGCTTGTGCAGCTCTTCGATCTTGGAGTGCTCGTCGTGTTCATCTGCGAAATAAGTTTCGACATATCAGTAGCATATATTGCGCTGTAAGTTTCTCTAATGTGTATTCAAATGCTTACTTACCATCCTCCTCTTCAAAGAAGACGTATTCTTGTATAAATCTATTAAGCATATTCTGCATTGCTTGATCAGGTTCGTACACCAATTGATGCATCAGATGATTGGTATGTGTAGTCAGTTGATTGCAGAATACCACCAACAGATCGCATATCGTATTATATGCTTCTTCTCTCAATATCGGCGGTGATGGCTATTTGATAAGCAAATATATGAATTATATATTTCATTTACAAGAAATTTGAATCATAATTGTATTATATAAAATGTATGATTACTGTGCCGCTACTGTCGCCACTAACGAAATGGCGCATCGAGCCCATAAATGAATGCAACCGTTCCTTCAGTTGTCGACATTCATCTTCGCCACGATTGCCAGAATCGACAGCTTCCATCAAGTGATTTTGACCCCATAAGATAGCGAAAAAGCAAGCGCTTATGCAATACTTAACTGCATTAAACGGTAAGCATCTATAAACCATTCAACATATGTATATATATATAATATGAAGATATAACGTGTAGCTACAATGAATATGAAGAAAATGTACTTTGTAGGATCTTTCGCATCTTCTATATCTTTGTATAGAGAATCCCATATATTCCATGGATTCATATTGTGACAAGAATAAAATATGGAGACTTTCTTGAGAGACTGGATAACATTGAAAGTTTCATCTTCGTCCGGTACCTCATCTCCCTCTATCAAATTCCGATACTCGTCGATCGCTTCTTTATACTTATTTACAATGGAATCGATCAATGTAGACCGAGCGACGTCGCATCTGCACAAAGATTAATTAAACATCTTTTAAATACTAGATAATAAACCTAATTGTTTAAACTAATAATATGCATACCTAGTAAAGATAGCATGACCGTCCACACACATGTGTTCTAAAGTCTTAGCTGCAGTATCTAAAACTTCAGTGTCGTGCATCTTTTCTACAATTGTGTGAATTTTACTCAATAAAGAATCTAGATTTATCTCCTGTCTAGATTTCGTATAAATATCCAAATCGAAATATTGCGGGATTGCGAGTAAGTTGGCCAATTTCTCAGGATCCGCCCTGTACTTGTCCAGCAGGAGCGGTAATGTTTGAATAAAATGTTCAGTTAATCTTTGCTTATCGTCATTAACTTGCTTCACTTCTTTCACTGATAAAATCTTTCGATTTGGTCCGCGGCCGACTGGCGCTTCGCCGGTAGCGGCTTGTTTAATACAACAAACCATCAACTCGATAAGGGATGTTTCCTTCTGATTGTCTAGTGCTTCCTCCTCAGGACCAGCCTCCTCCAGCAAAAGATCCGTCATACATTCCCAATCTTTCATCATTTGATTAGTCTCGATCAAAGAGTCAACCAAATATGCTCCATGCTCATGCAACTCGGATTCGATGAAGAACAAAACTAGATCGCGTATAAGAGGTGTATTCGGCAATCGCTTTTTGCCGCGTCTAGTCTTCACACCCGCTACGGCTTCGTCGTCCGGACGGAATAAACGTTCGTTCAAGAATTCACCAGCTGCTTGCGCGACCGCGCGATGAGACGAATAAACAAGTTCGTACACGTGTTCGCAATCTTTATCAGTGAGAATTTCTCTGTGATGTTTAAGGATCGAGATAACCAATTTTACAGCCTGGACCGCCACGTCATACTCTTTGTCCAACGTCATTGCAACGATTCTGTCTTTAAATTTACTGGTAAAAAGCTCAAGTTTCGTTTTTAACTCCTCCGAAGCATACAATGGTTGCAATGCCTGTAGACACTTCAGTCTGACTTCTCCAACTTTGTCGTGCAACGTCCAACCTGTAAAATTAAATAAAATTGTTAATTATAATTTCAATTTCAACATACAAGAATAGTTAAAACAACTTACCTATATACTTTAAGTAGGAATCGTCCAAGAAATTCTGGTGGAATTTTTTCATCCAGACTCCAATTTCTGCCATGCAAATTGCACGTATCTCTGGCAAAGTATCTCTGTATCTATGAACAAAGACTGACTTGAACATATACGTAAGCATATTCTTAATTTCGTCCATATTCTCTTCTAACTCCTTTCGTTTCGCCATTAAAGATTCCAATCTGTCTGCTGCTCTCTTTTCTCGGGCCTTTTGTCTCTCGGCTTCGTATTGTCGTTGCGTATTATCCAAATTTATAGAGACAGTCAAAGCAACGTCTACCAAGGCTGTCATTAATTTCATAGCTGCAGATGAAACAAAGAAGTTTCTCATTTGATGTCTACGTTTCGCTTAAGACGTAATTTTTAAGCGCCTTTTTGGCTAGTTTATACTTGCCTGCAAGTGTTGCTGTATGTCTGAACGCTCTAACTTGTGAGTCTGAGAGTCCAGTTAACAAAGAAATAACATTATCCATTAAAAATTGATCATAAATAATAGAATATTGACACTGGCGGACCAGAATTTGTACAAATTCGCAAAAATTGGCACGGAATTTCTTCCATTGTTGTCCTGTCATTATCAATGGATATTCACCACTCTCCTGTAAAATAGGATTATATAAGATGAAGTTATAATTTGTGGGATACTAAAACACTCTACGAAACATACTTCATCGAATTCTTCAGTCATCTTACGAATAATTGCCACATGTTCCATAGTAAGTTGCATCTCAGAAGTAATGCGACCTTTACAACCACTTGCATTGATAAAAAATTGCATCAACATAAGTAGAGCATTTTCCCTATTGCTCTTGTACTTTTCTATCCAGTCATCAACAATAGTCTACCAAATAACGTTTATATTATAAAAAAAGTTTTTATGGTATTTAAATCATTATCACAGTGCAAATCATAATCAGTCAACGTACAGTGAGGGAAGAACGATTATTTCTAATAACATAGTAAAGACTAGCTTCATCTTCCAGACTATGCGAGTGATGTGCTCTTTTGCCTCTGCCTCTTCCACTATTGCCTTTGCTTTTCCCACTAGATGTTGGGATATAGTCAGTATCGATTTCTTTATATTTAGGTTGCTGTACTACACCTCCTTTCAAATTAAACATGAAATTTTTTTTAATATAATTTCTACAAAGTTCTTCACAAGATATAGTCTACAAAATATAGAATTTATTCATACCACGCATCCTGGCACGTGTATTTCTCGTAATCCTCATGTTAGGAGTGGCAGGAGTCATGGGAGCCTCAAACTGTGCCTGGTTGTCAAAATTCCCTGACTGTTCTTGCTGCTGAGATGTACCAGGTGAACTATAACTCTCCGAAGAATAATGCTCTGGGCTACGAATATAAGATACATTAGAAGTTAAAGTGACATTTCCACCAGCATAATGCTATAAGATATTTACGTCGGATTGTGTAGTGGAGTTTGAGATGCCTGATTGTATGGCGTATAACCGCTATAAGAATCGTTTGCATCTCCACCCGAATTGTCGTTCATTGGTGTCATAGGTGTCATCGGAGTCTCGTACTCTGGTGGTACCGGATCGTCCATCCGGATACGCTTACCTCCTCTTCTGTGCATCATCTCGCCGTGTTTCTACACTTTAGAATATCTAAAACGAAAAGTCCATGAAAATCAATTCGTGAAGTAACGTCACACGGAAATGATAGAAAAAGGGCGGCATGCTTATTAACAGGGACGATTTTATTAATAAGATACCAAAAATTCCAAATTACGGTGCGCTGATAAGTATATTCATAAAGAAATCCCACAAGCGAATAATATTTCCCGATAATTTCCTCAAAAAATTATGCGGAACCGTTAAATGAACAGTCTACTTGTTTCTGTTTGATGCTACTGTCCACCAGAGAGAAGCATGAGAGCGGCCACCAGCCTGCTTTAAATGGCCAAAGCTAGGCTCATTTTCGAGACGCCATCTAACAAAGTGCGCCTTTACTACGTTCGTTAGACGCATTTTCGCGGTGGTAACGATAAAATGCGCCTGGTTCGCGCCTGTTTGTTATATTTCCGCACAATGATAGTAAATAAGAAAAGGACACACGTTCAATTGCTCTATTCTTGTTTCCATTCTTGTTCACCACTGATAAGTGAGCTGCGCACTAGGCACGAAGCGAGCTAGCGGCGATATTATCGCAAAGCTAAATCATCTCTCATCAGTCTCGTCTTTCTCGCGGATATTATCACACGATTGTCGTGCAGATATTATTATCACTAACATTTAATATTCGAGTATCATTACTTCTTTATTCGATTATTATTTAATTTATTATTTAATTATTGCTATTACGTATAGGGAAAAGCAACTATGTATATAATATTCTCGAATAATAAATGATAGTGATATTAATACCTGATTGACAATCGTATGATAACATCTGCGTGTGGATGGAACTGAATAACAGTGATCGAATAATCGATAATAACAATGAATAACAATAACTGAGCAACAGCGATAATAACTGATTAATGACGAGGTAAATAAATTGTCGTAACAGCACGCCCGAGTTGTTTTCCTATGCGTAATAGCAATAATTAAATAAATTAAATAAGAACTGAATAAAGAAGTAATAATATACTCGAATATTAAATGGTAGTGATAATAATATCTGCTCAACAATCGTGTGATGATACCTGCGAGTAGATAATAACAAAATAATGATAATCAAATAATCGGTAATAACAATATCTGGGCAACGGCTCTAACAAAAACTCTAGGCTCCACAAAGGCTAGGTAAACAGACTATCGTAACAGATCGCTCGTGCCGCTGACACAGCGACGCTTGGGGAAACGCGCGGCCGAATTATGTAAACATGCGTGCGCGAGCATTGTTTACGTGCTTGAGCATCACGCCACACACTCTCAACCGTCGAAACAAGTACATCGGGAGCTGCCGCGTTATTTTCTAAATTATTTTGCGCCGATTTTTAATACCGCATTATGGCTTCGCCATAATTAAACCAATAACTAACACGAAATGAGATACGCAATTCTCACGCGAGTAGGTGTTGCGGGTTTTACCGCGACAAGTAATTACAGGGTTTCATTTACTTTTCTACTGGTAAATCGACCATCGTAACGGTTCGCTCGGGCTGCTGACTGAGCGACGCTGGGGGG